TAATGGAAACTAATGTTCTTTGGAGGGGGGTGGCTTGGAACTATTTCTTTTTTAAAAAGTGAATTCCCAAGCTTTGGACCTGTCTTATACCAAGTGAAATCATTAGTCACTGAGTCCAGCACTGCCTCATTATCTAGCAGTGGCTCCTGAAGGGCTCAACAAAGAATCTTTTCTAACATTATCACCTATGTTTCTATAAATCAAGATGCTACAGACTGATGCTGGAAGCAACCATTACTGAAGGGCTCAACAAAGAATCTTTTCTAACGTTATCACCTATGTTTCTATAAATCAAGAAGATGCTACAGACTGATACTGGAAGCAACCATTATGTTCTGATTCTATGCTACAATCCCCTTCCCGTTTATTGTCTTCAACAAATTAATGGAATTTGACCACAGAAGACTGCTGTCAACACACCATTATGTTTGCACTTGATGGGTTACAAAGAGAAAAGGTTGGCTAACTCTTTACTAGCTGAACCAGCACACCATGACTAATGGAAAATACGATATGGTCATCAGGAGATTCTGGAAGTTTGGGTCGACCTTTTTGCATGGAGAGGCACCGTCTTTCCATAGTGGAAGGCTGAAAAATGCAACCACTAACCGTAACATACATCTCTGGCCTGTTAAACATTAAGGGCTAAGATAACACCAGAGCAAGGAAATCTGAAAATACATTTGAAAGGTCAGAAGAAAGCCAAATAATGCCTATACCAGCACACTTAGTTACTGTGGCTTTGATTGGCCTTGTTGCCCGGTTACAGTTTAAAAGGCAGATTGGCAACATCCTGTTAAACAAATAAACAATACCCCAATAGATTTATAAATAGTTATGCACTTATGTAACATTGCAAAACACTGCAAGGCCCTCCACATATGTCCTTTAAGTAATTTTTTATAGCAACCCCATAGGACAGTGTTAACACCATATTGCAGATGGGAGAGGGGGAGCTATGAGAATGACTTGCCTAAATTCATTAGCTCATGTCTGAGGTCACATTTAGACTGCAATCTGAAAGATTTCCATGAGCTTAAAAGAATAAATATGCATTAAGTGTGAGCAGAGCATGGCATAGTGACAACTCTCAGACTGCCCTAGTCAGCATGGGCACTTGCCACAGCAATGCTGAGAGCTGTTGTCCAAACAGGTAACATTCCTAAACACTGGGGCTCTGCTGTTAGCTACTTCATTACAGCAGCCTCCATACTGAATGCCAGTAATGCCTCTCCTTAGAGCTTCCACAGTAGTCTGGTCTTGTGATCACATCACACTGAAAGTCTGTACTGGTTGACAGTTCCTTCCCAGGCTACATTTAACTTCTGAACATCTTAGAGTTATCTGTGGAACTGCCTGGCTTTCTTGGAATGTTCTTCTTAAGATCAATGTTTCTTCTGAAGACAACGTTGCTCAGTGAAACCCACAAATTGGTTGCTCAGAAAATGCTTTTCCCCATGTCAAACTCTGGAATGCATTCGTACTGGATCTGCAACTGGTGCCAATTCTCACTGTGTTTAGAAAGAGTCAACTCAAATCTGTTTTACAGCTTTCAACTCTTACGTTTATGCAAACAGTTTTTGTGCCCTGCTTTTGCAGGGTTTCAGAGAGGCAATACATTAACAAAAACTAATCAAAATGGTTATTTTCTCAAGCACAGACAAATACAAGAAGGCTGAGCCTAATCCATGCACTTCAGATTCAAGTAGCCAGTGACTCCGACAAAATGACTGTATTCATGTTTTATGCTGATATGGTTGAGAGGTGGGGCCACTAGAGATGTTAAAAGGTGGAGCCAGAGAGGAGGAGTTTAGTTTTCAGTCTGAGTCTGAGTTAGAGAGAGTGAGATAGTTGGGAGATCTGAGGTGTGATTAGTCTGAGGAGTGAATAATGACCTGTAAGATAATATAGAAGATTGTTATTGATGCTTGATGAACCTGAAGATACTTATGAATTATTATAGACACATCTGTAATCAATAAACCTGTTTTATTCAAAAGACAGCGATGAATGGACCTTTGTCTTTCCTAAGTAAAGTTCGTCGATAAAGGAGTCAACTGGTGGCAGCATGTGAAAAGGGGTTTTTTTTGTTTGTTTGCCTTCCTGAGCTCTGTTTTGGGGAGACAAACAGGGGCCATGAGGGGCAAACATCACACAACTCTCATGTTCATGCAAAGGGTTTTTTTTGTGCCCTGCCTTTGCAGGGTTTCAGAGAGGCAATAGAATTAAAAAAAAAAAAACTCACCAAAATGGTTATTTTCTCAAGCACAGACAAATACATGAAGGCTGAGCCTAATCCATGCACTTCAGATTCAAGTAGCCAGTGACTCCAACAAAATGACTGAAGAAACACCAGGAGAATGTTTAAGCCTGCATGAAATGAACATCCAAAAAAACCTTAAAAATTTGTCCAAATGGAGTGGCAGAAAAGTAAGGGACTAGTAGCAAGTATTACCGTATTTTTCGCTCCATAAGACGCACCTTTCCATAAGACGCACCAATTTTTTAGGAGAAGAAAACAGGAAAATATAATCTGTTTTCTTTGCTCCATAAGACGCACAGACTTTCCACCCCCCCTGTTTTGTGGAAAAAAGTGCGTCTTATGGTGCGAAAAATACAGTAAGTATTAGCAAGGGGAAAAAATGAGGACGTACTAGGAACTATTGGCAAAAAAGTTCATTTTAAAAACATGAATGCAATGGATTCACCAAGAAAGAATTAACAATTAATCTCTTCAAAATAACAATTAATCTCTTCAAAATAATATGTCTCCAAAAGGAATTTTAGAAAACTACCAAGTAATGTGGGTCATAACTGGTGAAAAAACTGAAGAAATTCTCTTCTATTATTTTGGAAAAATTGCCTTCACAACCTCTGTTCTATCCTGGTCATGTATTGCTGTATATCTGTTGTCAACTAGGAAAAGTATTTACAGGTATGCTATATAATATAGGGCAGCAGCAAGCCATCTAAAGAAAGCAAAAATAGGATAGGTGGAAAGGCAATAATCACATGCCAGTATTTTGTATACTTTCAGAAACGAATATTGTGTAGCAAAGTGAATACTTATTGCAAGTGTCATTCATTTGACTAGGTGTAGACTTCACATTTTCAGTTTGACAGAAACAGCACAATGGAGAGAGATTTGGTACACTGCAATTTAACATATCCAGCTTTTTTTATTAGAGGACTAGAGATTTTATGTTCTTCAACTAACACAAAATAATAAATCAAGAGCAGTCATCTTCCATAATTTTATTTCAAAATCAAATCAGTTTGGAATTAATAATTTTAAAAAAACAGACCATGCATTTACTTTAAAAAAAAACAGACCGTGATTTCAAGAACCTCTATCTGCACATTGTGTTTAATATGCATACAAATATGAAAAACAGATGACATCCAATCAAAATGAAAGTGTTTGGAAATAAAAAGATTAAATTCTAGCTGCTCCCCAAGTCTAAGAGGTTAACCGTAGGTTCCTTTCTGGGCTAACTAAAGGTCTACATTATGGAGCCAGGGTGGACAACTTTGGAGGAATCAGGGACCGATTTTGTGTCCCAGAGTCCTTCAGAGGACACACAGATTGCCCAAAAGTGAAAGTGTCTAATATTTTTACTTTCAGTTATAAAAAATGGATTTGGATGTGGGGGTGTTAAATAGTGCAGGGAGAGCTATGAGGCATTTAAAAGGTGAACCACAGCTTCTGGGAGCTTCAAGGAGTTGCTGAAATGCACCGGTTCACTAGAATAACAGCAGGCTGCAGGAGGGCTCAGGGTGCAAGAACAGCGATGGGAAGATATGTCTATAGGTAGCTCCCAGGCTGCAGTTTGCATACTGCTGTTATAAAGGAGGAAATCACGTATGAATGTTACAAAAATAACACACTTGGCAAACAACCCAGAAAGCACTTCCAGGTTCTGTTCAAGCTAACACGAGTACATTTGAGATTTTTAGTAACACATAACACACATGCAGATAAAAAGAACTAGCATCACAAGAGTGAACAAGGTAGAGCCTGTCTATTCAAAGCAGAACTAGACAGAAAGGTGCTGTAAGCATGTACAATGAAGTCTGAATACTGCCTGCTAAGAAATTACTATCACTGCACAAGGAGACAGCGGATTTCAGATTCCCAATGCTGTATTTCCACTCCTGCTTCCTGTATGCTGCCTGATGACAATCATACTAGAAACCAAAGCAAAGCATTTCAACCGTTGCCTTGATTTGTATAAAATATTACATTAATACAATTCACAAATAAATTGTATTTTCACATACTATTGTGAAACGTGATTAAATTCTATATGGTCAAGAATAAAATCACTTGGAAAGCCACCTTCCTTTATGGAATATTTGGTCCTCTCCAGCTTAGTTTAAAACCAATTCAGAAGACAAGGGATATGGCAAGAATACTTTGCCAGGTTGATAATTTCCTAATTCTTACTATGCTACTGCAGGTTTGCTAAAATGGGCAGCCCAGCAAAGTGGAAGTTGACTTGCCAGCCATGTCTGCAGTCATCAAAAGGTTATACAGTTGCTAATTTAGTTGTGGCAACTACTCCTTACCTCCATACAAAGTCTTCATGATAAACAAGTGCAACTCACATAATTATCTAGAGTACACAGCTGACAGAAAAGCTGCTTCCTGAATATGTCCAGAGAATATACCATACAATAAGGCAGGAATTTTAGCCATGACAGATGACGTACAATGGCTATTCTACTTGATCAAGCTATTCTGAAATAATCATCCAGTCCTTAAAAGCAACCAGGGTTGTACAGTATTATCTCATACCTGTACAGCATTGCTCCTCTACAAAACTGACCTGCGATAGGAGGGTGGATATTTTATTCACACAGAAATCATT